AAGAGAAAATATGATCAAACTTACCGCCATCCTCTCTTAGTATCTTGATTACCTCGCCAGATACATCAGACTGAGAGAGAAATAATTAAAGAAATACATATGTTACTAAATAGAAGGAAGAAGAGAAAGAATAGCTCGAAATGATGAGAAATATTGCACGTTTCAAACCTCAATTGGGAGTTCCCCACCAAGCTGTTCTATGTAGCATACCACTTGGCCTTCCTTCACTTCTTGCTTCTGTTGAATCCATAATACAAAAGGTGTTAGGATTTGACTCGACCGGAGTCCTATACTGCAATTTTTAAGACTCGAAGTGTGCCTCCTATCGTGTCATGATCGGTAGGTCAGTGGTGAAAAAGTCTTGAAATTGGTCGGAAAAAACTACTATACTCCTTGTCGTTAAGTGTGGCGTACTGACTATTAGTAAAAAGTAACTTCGTGTTGTTCTAAATGAGTTAGAATACTTAAAAGATATGATTCCTAAAAGGTCTGTTAGACATAGTTATAAATAATACAAGGGTAAGAAAAAGATGCATACATTATGACATGAAGAGTTGACATATCTAGTTAAGGATGATAACCAGGAAAGCCACATTCAGAGCAAGAACTCATGCTATGATAATCCTCAAAAGATTTTCACTTTGTGTGTGTTTTTCACTCTTGTTTTAACAAGAAATTCTTGGTTGGCATTTCGTAATCATGTGAAACATTTCCTTGCAATAAAGAAATTCCTTAATAAAGGCATACCTCTTTACATGGAGGCGGAGCACGCTTTCCCTTTATAGTTCGAGATCTCCTAAAAAATCCCACCTGCAACATTTACACTTTTAGAACCAAAAATTTACAGAACAATCAAAGCAATTGAATATGCGCTGATTACCCTTGGAGACCGTATTATCACCAAGCCTGCATCTGCAGCTCTATCTACCAATGTCTGAATATTCTTTGAAGAAGTTTCTGACTTAGTTATAGCCAAAGATGGTGTAGAGACAAAACCATTCAAATCAGAGCTTTCAGCAATCACATTATATGCACTGGTAGGGGCAGCACTTGGGGGTGGTGAAGTGTTGACTTCTTCGGTCAATTTTCTCCTCACGTGCAACCGGAATCCACTGAGCTGATTATAAGTTGAAATGGAGAAATGTTAGACTTAGGAAAGAGTTTATGATGAGAAAACTGTAGAAAACAAGAAAAGAGAGGGGTGGGAGAAAAGAGAGAGGATAAAGTCATTGCTGCTTACTTTCATCTCAAATTCTGCAATTGAAGTTGTGTCACATATTGTTGAGAGCAGAGATTCTACCTACAAATAAAATTCAACTAAATTATAGGTTTCAAATTCATGACTATGTAAGCATGTCAATGTTCATGAGAGTACATACATGTGTAAATAAAGAAATGATTATCCTTTACAACCAAAGAATTCTGATTATCGGCAAACTTACCTCATCAAAATTTGGAACGAGCTGGCTTGTTAGACCAGAGTATTTGGACTGTTCACCATCATCTTCTGAACTTACAACAGCTGTTACATCATCAACAAAAGTGTCAGATACAAGTTAACTCTCAAGAAGAAATTAGGACTATCATCAGTATAATATGCACTGCAAAGCTACCCCATACGTCTCAGAAATATATAAATCTTTAAAGTTTGACTGCTATGACGTTGTATTATATAAAGAAAATGACAGATAATGAAACAAAAATTCAAAATCACAGCTAAAAATTTGTAGTGGCGGCACATTTCAAAGTTTTTGGTAAAAGGGGCTAAAAGGGTACTTGTAATTTTTTATCTAAAGAAACTTCTCATCCAATCAAGTAATGTCAAATGTGCAAATGCATGAGATGATACATGTTTTAAAATGGGAAACGATTATCCAGCAAAATTGACAACTTGGGTACTGTTAGGCCTCCTGTTACGTTGGTCTATTCTCGGAGGAAGGGGCGTGGGGCAATTGTACAAGACAAGGGGGTAGGAAATGGAAATATGGGAAAGGAGAGCTGATGTGGCAAGGTGGTTAGGATTTGTTAGTTGGGGAGCATATCTAGGGAAGGAGGGGGACGAGAGAGGGTGTCTGTTGATTGGGAATTCTGTTAGCAGACCTTAGGAGGAAGGACAACCTCAAATTCTCCATTGTTCTTGCTTTTCTTATGTTCTTATTTTCATGGTTGTAATTCCTCGCTTCGAAGAGACAGAAGAGTGAATTAATAAAAGAAACTTGACCCATTTTCAAGTATTTCTCTTTGAGTTTGTGTTCTGTTGTTAGTCTGTGAAGAGGGGTTCCTAAAAGGTACTGCGAAGTTATAACGAAAATTCAGATTTGAGAATTAGCCATGAAGCAAAAAATAAATAAATAAATAAAAGAACTTACGCAGGGTTTCTAAGGATGGACTAGTGGACACGTTCAACACTTTCCCTGACCGTCTTGATACTCTCAAACCTCCATATTCTAAAGACTTTTTCCATGTCCATGTCCTTAAGCAATTCAATCGTAAAAGCCCACTTCTTCTTCTACCACAGTCCAAGGTTGAAACTTTAACACCTATCGTCCCTACGCTAACTGAAAAAGGAATAAACAAATGGTTCTTTTTAAAAATAAAAATAAAAATTTAAAGCAAGTTTAGAAAACCATGACGAAGGAAAAATTTATTGAATAAAATTTGCTTCTTTTTCTATTTGTTCATATTCTTTCCACAAGAAAAGTAAATATTCTGCTATTTTCAACTATTGACGGCAAAAATAAGCCAAGGACAAAAAACTGAAAGCACAAAACTATGAGCATTTTCAGCAATGCAAAGAAAAAACAAATTTTGGGTTCTTCTTGGATAGCCATAAAATCCAAGCCACCAACAATCACACAACATAGCAAGAACTAGAATTCTCCAAAAACCCATATTTCTTTATGCAGAAAAATTATAATAGAAATAAGTAAGAACGCAAAAGTAAATTTATTTTCAGACATAGAGAGACTCACAGGCAGCCATTCAAATCGTTGGTGAGCTTTGTCGGGAACCAAAGGAAGAAGAAAAGTGGTCCAAAGTTTCAGGAAACTAAAACCCAGTTGAGGTATTTTATATATTCAGAGACCAAACAGAGAATGACATGCAAAATAAAAAATAAAAACTAGCTTATTTCAGACAATAAACGGCGTGTAAACTATTTTGTCAGTGCAAAACTGCAAACCTCAACAGAGAACCAGAGCGAAGAGAGTAACCCATGCCTTTTTTTTAACAATTTTTATTTTTTTTCTAGGGTACAGGTGGCAGTGGATTGGTATTAATTGGGACCCATGAATTTTTTATTTTCTCATTGTTCAATTCATTTTCTTTTTCATATTCTTCCTTTTAGAAATTGTTTTATGAATAAAAACGAGGGACGATTACCATAGGTGATGGTAATTTATTGCGAAAGACAACATAGCAGGATTTGTCTTATATTATTTAGAGATCGATTTTTATTTTAATGGATTATAAATTAATTGTCAAAATAAATGTGAGGACACCGTTGATTCTTTTTTATTTTAATGGTAAGTTGAGAAGTTTTTTTTTATATTTGTCTCTTATTTTAAATCATAATTTATGATTCTTTATAGTATTTTTTCTCACAAAAAATATACGTAAAATGAGAATAATTTTAAATTTTAATTTTAAATATATAAACCAAACGTCTTTTAAATTTCATAATTGACTCACGATGAGTATTTTTTTTCTTTTTAAATGAATTCCAACTCTTCTCCAACTTATCATCATTTATACCTTATTGTGGTTGTTTCTAATTTTCTCTTCCTTTTTCCATTTGTAGGTATTATTTTTCCCTTGCTTTTACATTGAGATCATTTGTATATTTTTTGCCAACACCGGAGACATTAAAATCGATCCATATTTTTCTATATGATATCTTTCGTGTTTTTTTTTTCTTTAATTTAAAACGCCAAGATTTTTACTATGACAACTTTAACCTTCTAATATTTCAACACAGAGTGTGATTCGTTAGTCATCAAATTGTAACCAAAGCTGCCCTTCTGGCTAACAAAAATAATTGAACTTTGTTGCTTCGAAAAAAAAAAAAAAAAAAAAAAAAAAAAAAAAAGGTGCGGTTGTCATGGGCTTAGTGTTCTATAGTCCATCCGACATATTCTCAACGTTTGGCTAAGGTATACAACAATAATGCTAAGCTTTTGGATTTTCCCTTTTTTTGGATTTCATTTTCCTGTTATGGTTTAGCGCATGAACTGGAATTGCAATTTTTTTTTTTTTGGAAATACACTATTTAAGGAAATAAGAAATGGTTGAAGTTATTTTAATAGTATATTCCAGAAATATATTAATCTATTCTCTTTATACTTAAAAAATGCCAAAATTCTTTTTTATAAGGCTAACACGTATCGGCCCCTCTTTTTATCTCTCTTTTTAATATTTTTTATCTTTGTCTTTATTTTTTATTTTTTAAATGTTTTTTTTATTTTTTTAATGTTACATTTCATTTTCTTGTGTTTTCTTAAAAATAATATATTTTTCTCACTTTATTCATATGAAATCAATTTCTTCGCATGTGTTCTTATTCTATTTTTTCTCAATGGTTAAAATAATTTTTTTTGAATTTGTCCATACTGAATTATTTTCCGTGTAATTCTTATCATATCAAAGGTTTTCTTCACACATATTTTTTTTAAAATAAATTTAAATATCCTTGGGTGGTTATATAAATGAATTTCTCATTATTCGATAAATAATAAATTTTTTATGTGTGTTCTAATACGGTAATACATGCAGAACACGTAAAAAATTAGTATTCATAAAAGTTTGAGCCTAACCACAAGCCATGTGTAAATAAGACAAATTTAGATTAAGATTTATATGGATCAATCCGGTTTTGAATTTTTTTTTTTTTTCACAAACGACATGTTCAGATACAATTATTTCTTTTAAGGCAAAATTTCATTCAATTAAAAAGTCTTAAAGACACCAATAACAATGTGAATGATCTCGTAGTACACAATACAAAATACTTGATAAAAACCAATTCTATCAGTAACTTCTGATGAAGCATAAAGAAGATGATGTAAGATGAGACTCGATATCAAGATAATTCCTCGATATATCAATTTGAGCACGCATAAGAATGGAAGCTTTCAATTCATCGAGAGCAGGTAACATGTAGCTCTAAGGCTACCAACATCTATGCATAAACTCATAGTTAGGGGAACTTCTAACTCACTAAGACCTAAATTTGGTGAACTAAAAACAAACTCAAAAAGTGAGAGAACCATCTTCATTATTACAATAAATAAATAAATAGTAGAACTACACAGCGAAAATCTCAACAACTTTGTTAGAAGAAAATATAAATAACTAAAATCGAAAGTAAGACCGCCGCAAGTCTTTAATGAAAGTGTAGCAAACAAGAAGACCATCAGGGTAGGAAGAACGCTTCGAGGACAAGCGAGTAAAGCTAACGAGATGCCTTTAAATAGCAGAATGTGAAATACACATGTCACTACCGTCAATATCCGGAGTCGACACCACCACCTCCAAAGGAAGCCCACCACCATTTGAAACAAAACCCAAAAGAGTACAATCACTAGACAATGAAAGCGCCGGAAAAGGCCAAAAATGTCCCCTGGAGGTGCAAAAGTGCTTATTTTTTAATTTCATGGCAACGGCCAACGACTTTGCACATAGCAAGCTTGTCCTGAATCCTGACGGTCTCGTCACCATCTAAACAAGCAACTATGCTTTAAAAAATATGAAGAAATATAAATAAACCATTTAGAAGAGGACATTAGAAATTTATGTCATTTCTTAGACACTCTTAATTCATAATCACATTTTCTTCTTTTATAATTAAATCAAGAGAAGCATAATGCTCGGGGTGCAAAACTAAATGCATATATTAAAATAGATTTATTTTCATAATTATTATTGTTTTTGGGTAATTTTTAAAAATACCCTTTAAAATGGAATCCCCTTTTGTATCTACCCTTTAACATTAGTGCATATGTTTCTACATTTTAAATTAGAACTAGTAAATGGGTAGAGGTTTTTTTTTTTTTTTTTAAGGAGTGGTTTTAATAAGTCAATCCTATTTTTTATTTTTATTTTTGATTAAAGACACCAACCTCTCCGGCTTGTGTTAGTGATACAAATTTATAGGGCCAACTAGAATGCTTACGCCTTTGGAGATGGGCCTAAAGCCCCGCATTCCCCTGAAGAGTATGCAGAAAACCGTCATAGACTCATAACATCACTCCCCGTGATCGACAGGTTAAGCTTCAGCCTTAAGTCAAGAGTCTTCATACCTTCAAAAAATTTAAATACCAACACTAAAAAGGCAAAATTAGGTGGATGGTTTATTTTGACACCGTTTTTAAATTAGTGGATGGTTGTTTTGTAAGTGACCAATTACCGATATCATGGTTTATTATTGATTTACCAATGATTTACTCATAAACTATTTAATTATTAATAAAAATTGATTGATCACTAATTGATATTGAGTAATTGATGATAAACCACTAAACTATTAGGCGATAAACTATTAATTAATCAGTAATAAATCGATTTATTATTGACGGAAAATAACAGGTAACCACATTGAAGGATTTACATGGAATCCAGATTTAGCGGGATAATTATCAAACAATTTTCCCCTATTCAAAATTTGAATTCAAATAGAAGGTTGAAAAAATTTCAAGATCGGGAAGGTTCAAAACGGCAAACAAGAGTTGATTCACGCATTTAATTTAAATGTTCATATTTATCTCATTGAAGGGCTATAGATAAAGGACCACACTCCTAATTGAGGCCCTAAATCCAATTCTTGATAATTACACACTATGTAATCATTCAAACGGTGAAACACTTTCCTGCCGCAAAAACTTTAGCGCACGTAGCCTTCAGTTGATCACAAAAAAAAAAAAAAGGAGACAAATACTCCTTATCTTTTAAAAGTGCACGAGTCTAAATTTTTATCTTTTATTTTTTATTAATATATTTTATAGTCAAATAATTATATTGGGAAAACGAGAATTAATAAAGAGTAAAGAGTAAAAATTTCAGATACCGATTCACTCTAAGAGTAAGTTCAACAATTTTTCTAATTTGTAGTATCATTATTTACTTTTCTACATTTAGTTTAATTGTTCTCTATGTGAGGGAATATTGTGATGAGATAAATTTCCTGACAAATGGACGTCCATTTAGCTTATTTTTATAACCTTCTTTAGTTTCATGGACAATATACTAAGAAGCCGATTCTGCCCAACTGCAGTGAACTACGAGCAACATCTTGGGCGCTATTGACGTGCAAATGAAAATTGCAGTTTCTACTTTTAACTCCAGTGTCTCAAATTGGATAAGCACCATTGTTATATGCATGATAATTACTCCCAGTATTCTACCAATTAAAAAGTTCCATGTGTAAAGAGTAACCCATGAATTATTATATTACGTGAAGTAATATCCTTACATGACAATGTTATGTAACTTTTTTTTTTTTTTTTTTTTTCCGAATCGATTATGGTAATTATCGACGATATTTAGCATTTATGATAAAAGGGCACTTCAACAAATTTTCCCTTTAAAGTTTAAACCGATATAACAAAGTTAGCCAAAAAGACAAGAATCTTGCTAAAAGCATATGCATGGCAATAGAGTGCTAGGAAACATTTATAAATGCATAGCTACTTTTGAATCCACGATGTTTGTACTTTTTCTAAGGTAAACACATTAGGTCAATGAAGAGAATCCAATGTTAACTTATATTTTCGAGTACTTATCCACTCTTGTCTTGTACACATTATTAGTGAAGCAAACTCATTAACAAATAGTTAAATAGCCCATTTGAAAGTTAGATCTTAAATATATAACTGGAACAGCAATCACAGTTTTCATCACTTGATATATTAAAAATAAATAAAATGATACATTTTTCCCTTTATATATAATTGTGATATTGAAAGATTGTAGTATTTCAGAGCACGCGCATTTTGTCGACAACAATCGAAAATATAGTTGTCCCCCCCTTTTTTTTTTCAAAAGAAAACAGAACGTTATAATTTTTGTGTGCTAATTGAAGTGTTAATTATAGATATTCCTTGAGTCTTGACCTAATTATTCTTTTACATATGTAATAAAGCAGAAATAGTGGTCCCCTATAAACAGAGCATATGTAAGTATTCATCTTTCTTCCTTAAGGATCTGTCAAAAGAATTTATGGACCAGGACTGCATCGAAGGAAGTAGCACTACTCTCGAGTTTTAAATCTTTTAATTAATCATAATTAATTATTCCCATCAAGCACATATAAGTCTGAGCATCTTCACCCATAATTCTAGTACTGAAAAGAGCAAGGAATCAATTCCATTTAAGAAAACAATGCCGAGTACAAAAAAGAGAAACAAAAATTCAAAAAAAAAAAAAAGAAAACAAAACAAACCCTTAATATAAAGACAACGGATATATTAAAAAGCATCCAAAAAAAACTACATCACTTTAATAATTATGCGAAACCTAACAAGATTGGAGGCATTCATGTAGCTTTTATGCGGACATGGGTCTTGAACCGTGCATGTTGATTTGGCCTTAATTAAGAAGCTCATCACCCCAAAGAAATATTAATGAAAGTAAACCATGCTAGAAAACGTTCTACCATTTATCTTCGATCTCTCTCTCTCTTGCTTGGCTGAAGTGCCTGCAAATTATAAAAAAGTTCATCAATATATCTTCTATAAAATTAAGAATATATATCTTTTCTTTTTCTTTTTTTATTTATAAAAAAAAAAAGAAAAATAAAAAGAATTAGGGAAAGGGAATGTATATATACCCAAAACTATATTTTAGATATATAAGATATGTCTAGTATGAGTCCCGAGGGGCATTGCATCTAAAGCATTCAATTCTGCTCGCAAAGTTGTGCTCGTTGCATCCAGACCTGTACTCAAAATTATTATTTAAAAAATATATATTAAAAAATGGTTACTTTCTAAGAAATAAAGATAACATCTATAGAGAAAATGTCGTGTAGAGAATGAATCACGTCTGTACGATAGAAGACTCATAAGGAGAGAACGTTAAAGATTCTCAAAAGAATCTACTTGTTAAAGCAGTCAAAGAAGGAGGGTACTTGTTCAATGTACTACAAAGCGCAAAGCTTACACTAACCAAGAAATATAATCTATTTATCTAATGTCGCATTTTATAATTGCAAAGTAAAAGTTTTGCGGACCAAATAAAGCAAATTAACATAAGTTAATGAAGTAATTAATTAAGCTATATCTTAAGTGGACAATTACGTACCTGTTGCAAATCCAGTCCCCGGATTTCCATCCCGGTCGGCCACCGCCGCCGCCGCCGCCGCCGCCGCCGCCTCCGCCTCCCAAGCCGAAGCCGCGGGAGCGGGGCATGTCGCAGTCGAAGCCGCCGTCATCCTTGAAGGCGCCGCACTTGAAGCAGCTGGAGCGGCTGGCGAAGTTGTGGGCCCCGCAGTTGCCGGCGCTGCAGTACCAGTCGCCTGGACGGACGTCGGAGCCGGTGGTGAAGCCGAAGGAGGAGCCCCCCCTCCCTCCAAAGCCTCCGAAGTCTCCGCCGCCCGATTTCGGGTCCCCGCAGCGCTGGCACGACTCTCTCCTCTGGAAGTTGAGGTACTGGCACGACTTGCAGTTCCAATCTCCCGGCCTGCTCATTTTCCTTCTTTTTCTGCACCACCAACAACAACTGTTTGATTAAATAACTTGAAAAAGAAAAAAGAAAAAAAAAGTATATATTAAACACTAAGCACTTACGACTTAATTTGCATATATTATACGTTCTCGGTTCTCAGATAAATGTGTATGTATAATAATATGAAAATATACGTATACATATGACATATACGTAGCTCATAGACAGGTAAGCTCACGTATCTCTGGATAATAATGTTCCTGTTATTATATGAACCAAAATGTGTAAAAGTAGACGTAATATTATTATATTACACACACACAGTACTACGTTACTTACGAAAAGAACTAAACAAAAAAGTAACCTAAGAGAGTGAAATTGAACATGATATGAACTCCACCAAAACTTTCCTAAACAAGTAGAGTTTCATTCAAAGAATAATCTTATAAGCTAGCGTGAGATTGATATATAGAATGAACTACTATATATATCACTCTGTGTGTGTGTGTATGTGTGTATATATATATATATATATATGTAACCATTGTGGAATAAGATCGTGATAAAGAGAAGTATAGAGTGAAACTAATGAAGAAGCTGACCTTGAGAATAAAACTGTAACAATGAAATGGGTGTGAGAGAGTATAAGTGAGGGATAGATAATACAAGGAAGGGATATTTGGTGAAGGAATGCGTCATATGGGAGGGTGCTTTATATACAAGATCAGTCGACGGAGAAAAGGGAATAAATGGAGGGCCGTGTACGTATGCTTTTTCGTGTTCTTCAATTTGGTTGGCAATTACCTTGATAAACGTAATAATAAAAAATAAAAATAAAAACTAAAGGAAAGAAAAAGAGAAAAAGAGAAATACTCCAGCAACGATTCCAAAGAGAGCTATATATCAAGAGGATATTTTGAATTTTGAATAAATATATACTTTGCCTAGCCAGTGTTACCTCGGATTTGCATGCATATAATTTTGTACAGCCTGTCAAGTGCATCAATTATATCCTTACATGTTTTTTTTTCCCTTTGTGTTGGCAAATATTTGAGATCTTAGCAACCGTTTGGTTGGAGGATTCGAATCATGGTTCATGGTTCACTACAGTATTTTTACTCACAAAAAACACACATAAATAAAAAATGATTATAATTTCATGGTTCTAATCCATGAACTAAACGGACTGTTAGTTCCATTTCAACTATGTATTAGTTTATTGGGTCACTTTGAGCGTTCTCTGTGAAAAGTATGTTGATGACATGGGTGGAGTCAGAAAAAAATAATCAAGTGGGAAGGAGTATGCTAAAATTTTCTTAGATTTCATATATAAAATAAATAAAATATTTCACATACTATCATATTAGAAGATGAAACAAATATAGAATTTCATAATTTATTTATCAGATTTTACATATAAAGTTAAAAGAAAAAGATTATAAGCAGCGCGACCACTTATCCTTGACTATACGTGGCTCTACTCATAATAGGTGACAGATTCTAATAGAATACGCAATCAAGACTTGTTATTATTGGAAAAGGAAACAAATATAGCAATTAATATATAATATCATGAATTGCAATTTTTCAGAACCATCTTAGCCTGCCATCTTTAGAAAAGTAGTGCAGTGCACAGTATCCATCATATAACCCAATACTTTTTTTAAATCAGTGTGCTAATTAGGAATGGTTTCTCATTTGGAAAGTGGATTGCTTATGGCTTAAGTTTAAGTTTAAGTACTACTTTTATATATGCAATTAATTAGTTTAACATTCATTATATCAACCTGGTGCTGCTTCTTTCTTCTTCTGAGGCAGTTATTATATACTGACTTCTAAAGTTAGGGATTATTAAATTGACTGAACTATCCTCTTTATAAATTAATCTGAAATCAGTTACTGATCATAAGGATCTAGAAACTTAACTGTAATTAAGGATTTCACACACACAACATTCTATTTAGTAAATCATTGTGTCCTAGGCGCCCTAGTGTGTGTGTGTATATATATATATATATATATATATATATATAATATCTCCAGCACATATGCATGATCAATCCAAAGACTATGGGATCATCTAGAAACATATTTTAGTATTGTTGGTTATATTTTTGGCGGAACACAATTGAACTAAGTTGACCAAAACTGGTGAGTCATGAAGTTGTATTGAGCTACATGTCTAACCAGCCAACAATTCCAGACCCACAAAAAGAAAACTGGGATTCTGTAGCCTATTAACACAACAAAATCTACTCAACTCAATCAAGTGAAGCATGAACCTAGAAAGGCCCTTTGACCATGGCATTTGGGACCCTCTTCCACTAATGTGGCACTCAAATATTGCACTACACAATCTATATATATGGTATATATACATGTGTGTGTGTGTATATATATATATATATATACACACACACATATGTAAGTAACATCATGAGGAAGAAGTAGACCCATCAAGGCACACGTGGCAGAATTTCTTTGGACAATGTGGAATCATGATCACAATGCATATTCTGATTAGCTAGAATATATAAAGCCATTGGCCGGGCCACACTTAAACTTCTTTATCTTGGTCATGACTCATACACTATATATCCCAACCATGCATGTGGGTCAAGTCTCTTTCAATTTTACCTTGAGATTCAGCACATTTTGACAGTCAATTTATAGGAAAAATGGCTGTTGCTTTACAAATTTGAATATTCCTTTATTCGTACTTATGTTCCAACTTTGCAGATCAGTGAAGTGAAATATATATTTGCAGGGGAATAATAATTATTGCCAAAAGCCTTCACAAGGACGAGACCTCTCTCTGCCGTGCCTTAATTTGACACAAATCACACATTGAAAGCAACCAATAAATTATAGTTGAACATTTGTTGTATATATGGTCGACATATATATATAATTAATGCTCTTTAAGTAAAATTAATTGTTCACTAATAGTTCATTTCAAAAGAAGTGAGTGATGATGAAGAGGAGGAAATAATTACATCGAAAATTTATATATATATATATATATATATATAAAGGAGGGGGTGAAAATGGAGAGTTTCAATAAAGGAAGCTAATGATGGAATAACAAGTAGTCTTCGAGGTATGATTTATGCATTTTGACCATCTCTTTTTTTGGTTCATGGCTTCTTTATCTTTTCTTTTTGCTGCGGCTGCTATTGCAATTTTTTTTTTTTCCTCTCTCTCTAACCCAACAAACAACTTTATCTTCTCTCTAAAGAAAAGAAATAAACATATGAGAGAGAAAGAGAAAGAGAGAGAGAAATCTGGCGTCCATTCTCTTGGGGAAGGGTAAAGGAAAGGAGAGGGCAAACTGTAAAGAAGAGCAAAGGGAAGTGGGTTGCTGCTGCTGATTCGATTCTCCTCGGGAATCGCTTCCATGCACGACTACGACCAACTTATTACTTTTTTTTTTTTTTTTTTTTTTTTTTTTTTTTTTTTTTTTTTTGTTCTCTTCTCTGCCCCCAATCTCTTTGTCCGTGCTTCCATTTTTTTTCCCTTTTAATAGTCTTTTTTCAATAGGGTCTCTTTACGGATATATAATATTTAGATCTAATTAAAATGACATCATATTAAAAAAAAAACACAACAATAGTTTTTCAAAAATGAAAATAAAATAGTTTTTACAGTTCATTTTTTTAGTGCCTACTAGAGAAATATCCTTGTTTTAAATATCAGCTACACCAGCTTTTTCTACTTTATCTTCTTTCCAATTTCATAAACAATATTGTACATACTCAACGAAATCTATAATTGTATATGTTGGTAAGTAACTTTAGACGTACTATAGTTGAGATGGAGTTCATATTGGAAGAAGGAATTGAGTATGTACGTAAAGATCTTGCAATTAAAAGTGTAAAAGTTATACAAGTTAACATGTGCATTTACAAGAGTACTTTGAGACAATACATATACAAATGCGCACAAGGAAATGTGTTTTGTGTGGGGAAAGCGAATGCATAATAATTTCAAGGTTCAAGTACATATCTCGAGTTTAGTTTAGCAATGAATAAGAGTATTTTTATTTCTTCCCAGCAAAAAAAAAAAAAAAAGTATGTTTATTGATTGTTTTTATTATTTTGTGTGTGTATTAAGAAAGAATGATTAAGAGTATGCTTGTCTTGTAGAAAAGATTTTCGTCAAACACTGACTATCCTCTATATATGCACCGAAACTCCAATAGTATAACCAGTTATAATTTTAGAATATAATAAGCATCCAGATGTCGGCTAATGGAACCAAATTACCAATAACTTACCGCCAGTGCTGGAACTTTAGGCCGGCAGGCCTGCCCCGACACCCGAATTTTTCAAGCTTGGTGGACAGGCCCATAAGGCTGTCCGTCCAAGCAAGATTTCGGACTCGGGCTCGGGCTGCTTGAGAAAGGTCAGAATCGCCGAAGCCCGCAACCAAACGAAAGCCCCTGACCGTCAACCGTCAAAAAAATTTTTAGTTTTTTCCCTCCGGCCCGAAGCCCGATCAACGGCTGGTTTTTTTGAATGCTGGCGCCCGACCCGACCTGCCACACGAAAGCCCGATTCCAACGGCTCTTGTTTTGACTGTTGCCCGATTTTCGGCCAGAACCCGACCTGCCAAGACAAAAAATGACCGTTGGATCCGAATTTGGGAAAAAAAATCAATTTTTTAACCCAAAAATTTTCCTATAAATACCCCTCATCCCCCACACATTTTTCCTCACCCAATCTCTCAAATCTCTCTCACAATTTTTTCAAAAACTATCACAATATCCTAAAGCTCTTTATCTCAAATCGCTCTTATTTTTTATAATTGATTCTTTTGGTTATAGTGGTATTCCTGTTGATGCCCAACATAACGTGGAAGAATGACAATTTTCTACTAATGAATTTATTACACAGGAATCTCAAACACAACCAATTGAGGTACCTACAAATCCGAGCCATGGTGGACGTACTGGAGGTCGTGGTCACAATGGTGGTGGGCGTGGAGGAGAGGCGAGTGCAAGTGCTATTGCATCTGCAAGTGTTGCAACCTCCAGGAGAAAATGCAAGCGCACCTCGACAGTTTGTGATCACTTCGACACAATTGAGGAGGTCGACAATGATGGTAACACTAAACACATAGCTCAATGTAAATATTGTTATTCTAAATTACAAGATGACATTATTCACGACACAACACACTTGAGAAGACACTCCGAAAAGTGTCTTCAAAAGCATGGCCAAACCGGCGGAGCCGAACTCCGCCAAACACAATTATCTTTTGATCGCACAACCGATGGTCTAACCACTTGGAAATACGATCCACAAATAGATCATATGGAAGTTCCGCGAATGATAGCTGCATTAGATCAACCACTTAGTTTTGTAGAGCATCCTAATTGGCAGCGATACATTAAAGTTGTACACAATCCTAATACACAATTTTTTTTAAAAACTACTCTTAGGAAAGATTTGTTAAAATTATTTAAACAAGAAAAAGAAGCATTAATAAACCTTTTAGACTCTACTAGCGGTTGCGTTGTATTAAAGGCAGACATTTATTCTGCCATATCCAAAAAAGATTATTTATCTGTACCGGACATTACTTTAAAGGCTTTGATTTTGATAAGAGAATATTAGGATTTAAATGTGTTCTTGGATCACATAGCACCGATTTAATATATAATACAAATTTAAATGTAATTGATGAATATAGATTAAGAGATAAAGTGATGGCTATAACACTAGATAATGCTAGTGTAAATACTAAAGCAATTGAATATTTTGAAAATGATTTAAGTTTATTCTGTGATGGTACTATTTTTTACCAACATTGTGCATGCCATGTAATTAATTTAGCAGTTAAATCCGGTTTAAAATCAACGGATGCTCACATTAAAAGAATTAGAGATAGTATTGCATGGATTCAAGGTAGTAACCAAAGAGAATAGGATTGATTTAGGTTCTTACAAGCATTAAATCTAACTCCTAGAGCATTAGGCCTAGATATGCTTGTAAGATGGAACTCAACTTAGATTTTATACAATTTTAACACAAAATAACTTAATAATTATTTATATACAAATACAATTACTAAATAATAGTATATTATATATAATATATATACAATATTATAAAAATTAAAAAATATAATAAAAATATATATTTTTCGGGCCATTCGGGTGGGCTCGGGTTGCCCGACTGGGCTCCGGTAGCCAAAACTAGGCCCGCGGCCCGTCCGTGGGCCTTCTCAAGCTCAGGCTTGGGCGGGCAGGCTCAAGCGTTGGGCTCAAAATTAAATTTTTTGAGCAGTCGCGGGCGGCCCATCTAAAGTTTCAGCACTACTTATAGCTCAGCACATTCCTCACAAAATGGAAAATGGGTTTTCAAAAAAAAAAATGAATGCAAGGAGATCTGTACACACATTTACTTTTAAACCATAATAATGTGACCTATATTTTGTAACTAGAATGCAAGGAGTTCAAAGCTATTTTAGTCCAAGTCATAATCGGCAAACCGATGGAAGACAAAAATCTCACTGCAAACAATGAGAATTGACCCTTGACTGATGGGTAAATCAGTGTAGGTCGTCTACCGTTATGCCACCATGAACGATGGTAAAAGAGAAAATGGGTTAATAAACTATAACACGCTCTCTTTTCTTTTTCTTTTTCCTTTTCTTCTTAAAGGAGCAAGCAAATAGATTTAGATGCTCAGAGAATATTCAACAATTAACTCCTTAAAACCAATTTAACAAAGTTTAAGAGGATAATTTTTATAACAGTATAACACAGAATAAAATATTCAAAAAAATACTAATTAAATTATCTTAATTATCTTTTTTTCTTCACTGTCACACTAGATCCTTTAAATAATCATTGTAATTACTAACAGTACATGTTAATAATAATTGTTTGTGGTAAATATTACTGATGTAACAGTAATGCAAATGAAAATAATTAAAATTAGTGTTATTTAGAAAAGACTTTTTCTATTAGTTTTATAAAGAAAAGGACAAACAAAAAACAAAAACAAAATTCCAAGGAAATTCGTAAAAATCTGAGGAGCTTGGCAATGAATAATCCATGTACACAAGTAACCCAAAAATACATTTAGGCCTTCAATGCGCATACATTTGGTAGATTTGATACAAAAATGGCCGACATTACGTACGGTAGACGGTTTAAATTCTTTCCTTTTCTCAAACTCGCCACCCTGGTGTTCAAAGGGCATATTCAGTATTCACTGATTTACCAATGTCAAAATGACGAAAATGAAAACTTTACCAGATGCCATCTTCACAACATTCATACAGAAGCATCACTGGTCATGGCAGAAGTAGAATATGCTAAAAACAACATTTCTAGCCTAAACATTACAACACGGGAAAAAGGTAAGGAACAAGGTCACTTTGAGATTTTATTGAGACCCTCTTCGACTCCGGCTACCAGGACCAGAAAGAGCCCTTGCACCCATTAAGTCAGCTGTACTATACAACTCCCTATGACCCGGCGAAGCACTTAAGCGCGAACCATGAGGAGATGGAACTTGACGAGAAGATCCTGAACTTGGGTCACTCTCCCTTTTTGCCTCGGCCTCTAAATTCTTGGCTTCATCATTCAGTATGGCAAACTGCTTCGTAGAAAGCAGATCAGTCGCATGAGTTTAGTTTAATCATAAATTTGAGTTAAGAGATTTCGATTATAAACTGAGTTGCAGATATTATAAGCAGCTGGAGATTTTACATCAGAATTGGTTTGCTTATAGCTGTGATGGTTGAAGAGGAAAAACATTCTGGCTCGTGCAATATCTTCAGCCATCACAGTTATCAAAGAATTGTCAAAGTCAAATAATACAGAAAAAGCTTGTGAATAAAGCATCCTAAGAGTTTATGGAAGAAATGTCCTAAACTCAGAACTGTACCCGAGTTTCATTCTCTCTTAAGCGGTCCTGGAGTGCATTTATGGCTGGACTCAAGCTGCATAGATTCAAGACCAAGGTAAGATTCGAACAAAAAGAGAGACACAACACGGGGGAATAAATGGAAACAAAAAATAAATCAATAAATAAATAAGGGCAAGCATAACAGTTATGGTACAGAGATGGGCATTTGATTCTAACCAATACTCAATTAACTTGCACATGGAAGCCTGATATGTTGACGTGTGATGTATAAAAGTAAGTGGATGAACTTTCCAATCCCTAAGTAAGAAGAATACACAAATTCAGAAAGCGGGTTTGATTAGTATTAAGCAACATCCAATCATCTTAAGCACCTCGTATTTTGCAAGATGGCTTGGTTATATGCTTCCTGCTCCTCTTCATTTAATACGCGTTGCAAATCCGTAAAGGATGTCAAAGGTGAGTCGAGTTTAATAAGAGCTGATGTTGGCAATACATACAGAGGAACTTCTTTCCTGACGTACTCTGCACCACTGGCACCAAACAGCAGCAACTCTAAGTTTTAGATTAAGAGCTGCCTTGTTAGAAAAGGAAAGAGGTAAAGAATATCGACAATTGATGGATAAAAAGAAATAAAGAAACAGACATGGGAGACGAAAAAAGAAAATGGAAACAAACAAAGAAAACACTGACACTTGGTATAAGGCAAGAGAACGAACACCAGCATTTTATTTTTACTTAAAAAATATAGCATATAAAAGATACTAGATCTCAAAATGGATGAAAAAAAGGATGTCAAGTGGTCAAGTACGTACTCATATATACCTCATGTCCAAGTTTGAACGATGCATTGCTTCTTGCATACCATCTGAGACATCCATGGGATCTATATCAACAATGTTGTCATTTGAATTGTTGGTATTGTAGTTTCCTCCAATTCTTTCCTTTTCTTGAAAGTTTGCATCGGCATTAGCAAAAAGGCCCCCCAAGTCTGAAGATCTTGCCCCGGCCTACACAATTTTGTACGTGATTAGACAAAGCAAGAAGAAGTGGATAAATTAAATTTTATTCTCAAAAAATTAAGCAAGATCCGTACTTTCTCCAAGTAGGCAGTATACTTTTAGTAAAAAAAAAAACATTTTTAAACTTTTATCATCTAAACATCTATGCTTTTCCTAACTATACCCAGTTCTAGAACTCTCCTTCTGGTTCCATCACTGTACGGTTATTTCCAGTTTGATAATGAAAGTATACCTTAATACCTACAGCAGTTCTTGAATCACCAGTATCGTGTTCAGGACTCTCCACCTTTATCGATCCAGATCTCACCACTGCATTTTCTGACGAACTTAATGATGATTCAAGATCTATTATTGAATTTCTATTTACGGGAGACAGAGAAATAGGTCTTGACATATGGTGTTGCTTCCCATCCGAGGACTGAAATGCAATTACTTGGATCCTTCCAACCTAAATTAACCAAAATCTGAGAACAACTTTCCAAATGCTAATAGTAACTAATATATGTACTTCAACCAACCTTGTTTATATCTTCACTATAACAGGAAAAAATCAGCCCAATAAACCCAGAATCCAGAAGTTGGTACATTGCCTGGGTCCGTACATCTAGAGAAAGTGGAAGGCAATGGTAACATTAGTTTCGAGAACCAAACAGAAACACAAAGATGTCTGAATAAAAATTGTATCTGCTCTCAATACATCATTTCTTCCTTTTGTTTCTTTTTGAACAAACTGAAAGAAAAACGTGCATATGAAATGGACTTAAACGGCAGAAGAATTGTAATTAAGAAACACTCACCGACATGAGAAGGAAGAACTGTAATATGAGGATGTGAATGGTACCATCCAATCACTCTAGTCGTTCTACCAGTCAAAGTAGTCATTCTGTGCTATAAAGTTAATTAAGAACAATATGAACAAAAAGTCATAAACATAAACGTCTTAACTCATAAGGTTGATTCAAAGGGCCAATCTCAAACTTTCTAGCTATGCATTTGAATTTACTTAACTATTCAGTGGGAATGCAGCCAGCCAAACAATGTAAAACTACGATGAAGAAAAGCTACAAGTGTGACAGAATATGGCAGAAAACTTGGTCATAAAAGAAACCAAATTTGAGTGAAATGAAACATCAAAAGATCTTCCATTCAGAGCTTAAGATGAAAATAGATTAGTGATTACAGAACGTGATCTTTATGATATAATAGGAACTATGAACATTAGAAGCTATTTTTTTCTTCTCTTCCTAGTATGAGTGTTGATTTCCAAAATTGAAATAAATAGAGCCAGCAATCCGTTATTCTTATTCTTTTCTCTTCCTAGGAACGAAGATGAAAGATTCAAAAAGAAAAGAAAGAGCATTAAAAGAAGCAAAAAAGGATATTTCCGCCTGAGCAGATGCAGCAGCCAACTGTTCAGGGTTAGTCTCCACACGGTCCTTCCTTCGATCAGAACGTGTTTGAGGTGATGCTCCCCAAATTAGGGCAGTTACACTCCCGTTCTTGTGCTGAAATCCGAAATCAGACATGAAATAGCATTATGAAATGACGGTATCAAAATTCTCATCAATTAAAAAGAAACGATCTAAAAAAGAAGGGCGAAAAGGCCACGACATAAGCTAATGGTAACAATAACATTCTCCAACTGGCAACTACAATGGTCTTAGTTCTGGACAAGACTTAAAACCTGATGGAGAAAAGAGTAGCATTCTAGCAACGTTAATTGAACCACTTAAGCTACTAGTAGTATAATCTGGTAGAATAATGAATTCATATTTCACATATCCAATGTTCTACTGTGAATACGCTAACATAGCAAAACTGATAAAATGCAAGAAAAAATTCCCAAAAATTGAGAACTAGCCAACACAGTACTAAGGTAAAACATTTAAATTTCGATGGTTACTTAGGTACGGGGAGATTCTGCAAACACATACTGCACAAGAATTTGAACTGAAAGAACCTACTTAAACACATAAAAAATGTGAAACTTCTTCAAATTCATTTAGACAGCCACATTGCCTAATCACAATTTTGTTTAACACTCTTGTCAAATCAATCCATGTATGATCAATATAGGACACAAATTCCAGAACTTGACCCTACGGTTTTCAGAGAATTGCAATTCCCAAAATCCCAATTTTAAAAATTCTACCCAAAACCCGTTTCATTGCAAGAATTAAAAAAAAATCCGTGTCTCAGAAAAGAACCAAAAAGTTACACAAGATCGAAACTTTCTCAAACCCATAAAAAAAATCCCAGCAATCAAAGAGTTGTTGCGGACGACAAAACCCAATAAGAACAAAATGAAATTGAACGGAAGAAAAAAAACAAAAAGAAAAAGTAAAGAAAAAACCTCGATATCACCGAGAAGAAGACCCATAATCTCCTCGGTCTCGGTGGACAATGCATGAGTGAGGCATGTTAGCCACACTTCCTCCGACATTTTCACACTCGTTAGAGACATTCTCTCTGTTCTTCCCAAAAAAATCCTTGTTTCTCTCTCTACTTTCTCTCTCTCAGATGAGGATTGTGATAGAGAAGGAGAGAGATCGCCAAAGAAAAGTTTCGAGTTTTGAGTTCAAAGCATGCTTTGTTGCACTTGCGAAGACGAAGAAGAGAGAGGATCGAAACTGAGTCTTGAGAGATTATTGAATATGGTCGGTTTCAGCCTTTTATGGTGCACCCCTCCAATATAATCTCTTCGATTCTGTGACGTCATGTTCTAACCTGACACCACTTTTTATTTTCTGTGATTTGTGGATTAAAATTATTTTTAATTTATATTTTTTTTATAAAAAAAATATTATAATAAATAATAAATTATAATTTAAATTTTCTAACTAAATATTCCCTCAAATCTTTTCTTTGGTATTTCATTTATTATCAAATCAATCATATCACGTCTTATAAAATATTTAAATTATTTTTGAACTGTTTTTTTTACTTATTTTAAAATGATGAGTGTAATTTAATTATTTAGAGTCCGTTTAGTTTGTTGATTTAAATTTTTAATTTAAATTGAGATGTGATTTTATGTGAGAACTTTTTACTATAACAAAAAAATTAGATGTAATTGTTTCTGAGAGCTTTTTACTGTAACAAAACTCAAATTATAAACTTGAATCGGTGAAATGAACGGAATCTTACCACTTAAAACATTAATAATTAATAATTAATTTTAAAAATTCCTTTTAAATTATAACTTTTGTAATATTTTATCTTCTGAATTTTAAAAAGTAATATCGGTTTTTCCCAAACTTTATTCCGTTAACAAATTTTATCCTTCTGTTAATATATCACTTATTTAGTGAGAATTGAACGCGTAATTACGCTTATACCCTTCTAATCAGATAATTCCCTATTTTTATTAAAAATTCACCATTTTCGTTTTCATTTTACTTCTTTTTTTTTCTCACCTCGTTCATCCATGGCAAGTTCCTGCAGTATAAATAGTGGTGGCAAAGGCTGGGTAAACGAAGAAATTTGAGGTCCTATTCGATGTCGATGTGGGTTGGATCCGGTAGACATCACACACAAAGAAGAATCCAGAAAGACAATTTTATGGTTGCATTCGGTATAAGGTAAATCGTTTAACATTGGACAACAAAGCTTTTGTATATTTGAGTTGAATCTGGTTAACTTGGGTTTGATTGGGACTGTGGGTTGATTCTGTTTTAGTTCGAGGGTAATTTTTAAAATTAATCATTCATTTTATAATTGAATGTAGAATGAAGAGGAGAGTGGTTTGGAAAATGACTTGATAGTGGAGAAAATTTCCATGTAAGAGAGCTAGTTCCATAATTAGATTTCAGTGCAAGAGATGTGGTTCCAAAATTAGTCGAAAGGCTTGACAAGTTGAACCAAAAAATTGATAGCTTGGATGAAGAAATTATGAAGTTGAATGATGCATTTGGAAAGAAGAGTGTAGAAACTGATATGAAAATAAAAAAAAAATGAGTTTACGGATTAGCACTTAACAAACTGATTTAGTAAGTATTCAGAAAAACGCAACAAATAAAGGAAAGAATGAGCAAACTTATTGTCAATATGATTAAAATCACCAATATTTTCCCATGCTGCAGCCATTGAGAGTGATTCACCACAAAAATTTACAATGAAGATTGATTTTTCGTCAGATTTTTCTTTTTGGGTGAAAAGTTCTAACCCTAACACAACAAAAAAAAATCGACAAAATGAGTTTTTCTTTAACGCATTTGAGTTTTTTAATCATTTTTTAATAACCTAAGGTTGTTGCAGGTTAATTTACAATAATACCCTCCTCAGATAGGTCATGTACCTGACACGTTGTGATTTTCGTTACTCATTATAACAGAAGGATAAAACTTATTAATGGAATAAAGTTATGGGGAAACCGATGTTACTTTTTAAAATTCAGGAGATAAAGTGTTACAAGGGTCATAACTCGAGAGGATTTTTTGAAATTAATCCTTAAAAAAAAAAATTTAATCCAATATCGAATGTTTTTTTTTTTTCATTATCTATAACGTATGAAATGATATGTCGTTAAATTTAACGGCGTAAAATAAACGTTTTGTTTTGTTTTACGATTTAAGTCAAAATTCAAATTTTATTGTTATAATATTTTTTTTTATAAAAATTTAAATTACATTATTTTTATTTCACATATACAAAAGTTCTTAACTTGTGAAACAAATATACATAAGACTTCCACTAGTGTAAAGTATAAGCTGTTACAGAGAAATGAAGCTCTTCATTTGAGCTTAACGCTGAATTTTTTTTTTAATAATTAATGCTGATGTTATGTTCCTAATATATGTTTCCTTTTGTTTTTTTTTTTTTTTTTTGCTCAACTCTTTTTTTTGTCCTTAGTTGAACCGAGTCTTTTCCGTTATCACTTGTCCCATCTTTTTTTTTCCTTCTTCCCCATTTCTTCCATTCCATCATCTTAAACCCAAAAAAGGGTGGAAAGGCAAGCCAAAAAAAAAAAAAAAAGAGAGAAAAAAAGCATGAAGGGTCAGACGTCAGAGATAGCAAAATTTTTTTCTTCCAAGAAAAACTTATGTCACCTTCTATCAAATTAGAGATATTAAAATGCTTTTCTTCCATTAACAAAATCCAAAACAATACAATGGGTGGAAACACAACAATACACGAGTAGAAACCCACCATCAGAAACTAGAATAATTGAAAGGAAAAAAGGCAAAAGGCGGAAGGGCTTGTTGAAAATCCATACATAAAACTATTAATTAGTGACTTTTTTCAAATTTCTATTATTAATTTTTATTTCTCCTTGAGCTAAGTTGTTTTTCTATTTCTCAAAGCTCTGAAGAATTATTTGGCAGGATATCAAATACATATTATTTTGTATTGTAAATTTTTTTTTATCAATTAGTATAATTGTATAATTTAGTTCGACAAAAACAATGTGAAGTAGCAGAAGGATATCCAATCCATATCAAGACACAATTAATATAAAGCAAATCTATAGGGTATAATATTTTATGTTCGTTGACAACTTATTGCGTTACGGTATCTTGCTCTGGTTCATATTTCTTAACATTTATCAAAATTATAAAACTGATATAACTTGACATATATGTGAATTAGGACCGACAATATGGGTCACGACACGACGACACGATTCGAAAATGACATGAATTTTGCAGGTTAGGGTTGAAAAAAAAGATGTTCGGGTCAGAATTGGATCGACCTAAAATTGACACGAAAAACACATGTCAATTTCAGGTTGGACCCGCCTAACCCGAACACGACATGAAACTCATAAAAAACTAAAAAATACATATATTTTTCATTTCATATTTTAAATTTTATTATGAACTTGTGATATTATGATAGTTATACTTAAAATCTTATACTATTATTTGCTTAATTTCAATGGATGTCAGTGTAATTTAGTGTGTTATGAATTTTAAGTTATTTCTAATATGTAAAAAACTAAATAAAAGTATACAATTTTCGTGTCAATTCCAGATTCATGGGTCAATTTCGTGTCACGGGTCATTTTCGGATTGTGTCGTGCCAACTCGTAAAGTGGTTGTGTCGTGTTCGTGTTGCGGTTTTTAAAAAATTTCGTGTTACAGGTCGTGTTCGGATTGACTGTAAATTAAAAAAAATACGACACGAACATGATACGTGACACAAATTGTCACTCTTAATGTAAATATCTAATTATTCAAAATAAAAACCTACCTGTAAAGTATTGTTTCATTCCTACCTATAAATCTCAATTTTTATTATTAATAGAAGCACGTCACTTTCTATTATAATGACTATTTTTTTTACGATTAAAATAAAGACTTTTTTGCACGAGACTCTCCTTAACTTTTTGCAATTGGTATATTGTTCTTTAATTTTTTTTTGATGACGACGTTAGATTTTTAGATGGACTATTCTTAAGAGGCGTTTGGTATATAGTAATTTTAAAAATGTGAATGAAAATCTGTATTAATAATATTAATAATATTAATATACTCTCCTTAACTTTTTGCAATTGGTATATTGTTCTTTAATTTTTTTTTGATGACGACGTTAGATTTTTAGATGGACTATTCTTAAGAGGCGTTTGGTATATAGTAATTTTAAAAATGTGAATGAAAATCTGTATTAATAATATTAATAATATTAATATTAAATTTTAAAAGATTTAGGGTGAAAATATAATTTTAAAATCCAGGGGTCAAAACATAATTTTAAAATTTTATGTATCAAAATATAATTTTTGAAAAGATTAGGGTCAAAATGTAATTTTTTTAAAATATAAATCCAATATTACTCCAGTCCTGAACTCGACCCCAACGTCGGTCACAAAATCCAACCCCGAGCCTTGATATTTGTGAAATATTTTATATGTTTTTAATATGGTATTTGAAGTTAAATTGCATAATACAGTATAATATATATGTTTTTTTCTTATTAGATATTATATTTCGTATTGTATTAATTTTGAATCTCGTATTAAATTATACAATGTCACCAAACATTGTATTATTATTAAACAATACAATACACATGGTCTTAATATATTATTTTAATATTTAAATAATATTATTATTATACAAAATAATGTTATTTTTGGTGATACTTTGGTACCAAATAAATTTAACACACTTATATCAATTTTGAAGTTTAATTACTATTGTTAATGTATTGACTTCCTTTGATTATTATAACATTGTAAATTATTTCAAAACTAAAACTTTTACTTTCAAGTTACAAATTTTCATAATTATCAGATATAGCTATTTAATTTTATTTCAAATAATGTATTTACTTTTTTTCCCCTCTGTGTTTTGTGTTTTCTATCACGGATATGATCGGCTGGATGCATCAATTCCGAAATAAGAGATGAAAAAAGCATTTAATATAAAGAGCATTTCCGATCAAAATGCTGACATCAATTTTATATATAGGATCAAAAAATATATTAAGATATGTTATTTTCATTTATCGTGAAATGTATGATGTTTTTGAAATATTAAATTTTATTTTTTTATAATCATTAAAAGAACTTTTATTTCTAAAATAATTTGAGAATACAAAATTTACTATAAAAAGGTAAATATATCAACTAATAACAATTAAATAATAAATTTATCATATGCTATGTTTGATAGGAAATTTATAATAAAGTATAGCATATAATACATTTGTATAACATATAGCATTGTATTGGATAATATTTTTTTCACTCAAATATTAAATCTATAATTAACACATTAATTATAACATTACATTAGAGATGCTATAAAGTGTTTAAACCCGATGATTTTTTGGCTTTTTCTTCCAAAAAGAACTGGGATCTAGTTGGGAGCAATTTGGTGTTGGTTTTCCTTTCATTAATCCTTAACGATCGCAGGTATGTGGAAGCTCTGAATGCGGTCCTTATTCCTTAAGAACAAGGATCCAAAAAGGCGTCAAATTTGCACCGTATTAGCCTATGCAATGATAATTCTTTAAAAAAAATAATTCGAAGGCATTGGCTAATAAATTGAAAAAAGGTCCTACCCGACATCATTTTCCAAAAGCAAAGCACCTTTGTTCCGAAAAAGCTCATTACACATAATGTGCTCGTGGCCTTTGAAGTGCTACATTTGATTTGTACGAACACCGATCTTAAAGACGGTTTGATGGGGCTCAAAATATATGGCCCTTCCTTGATGCTTTGGTGAAGAAAATGGTACATATTTGGTAACAATACTATGTTTTTTTCACAACTTAAATTTTATTGTTACAGTATTTTTTCTCATAAAAATTTAAATATAATTTTTTTATTATATTATTTTCTCTCACATAAATAAACTTGAGTCTTGAGACAAACATGCATCGATAAATTCATATTGTTTTGATTGCATGACAACATCAAGCTCTCACTTACTTTTAATGGTGTAGTGCAAGGTTCAACTCAGATAAGGGTGTCGCTGTTTTTTTTTTTTTTTTTTTTTTTTTTTTTTTTTTTTTTTTTTTTTCTAACCTTCCAAGAGTTGCAGTTTTTCGCTGCGTTTGAAGGGACAGTCTCATTTGATTTGGTAATGATATTAGGCTGTGTCATTTACGATATGATCAGTACACATGAATTCTTTATCTCAAGTTTTCTGGTTCTTTATTCTTCCTTTGTTTGTTCTTTATTAGAAATCCATCTCACAAGAACTAGTGTTCATTTGCTCGAGGAAATATATAATAAAACCAATATTCAATTTTGTAAATTTGAGAGTCCCACACATGACATTTTCCAACAATAGAGGCTATAGATCAAATATGATCCAGATAAGTTTTTTTATTTTTTTATTTTTTTATTTTTTTTGGAACCAGACTTTCATTAACCAAGCGTGATTGTGGACATGCACATTAGTTGAATAGAAAAGGCAAGCACCATTAACAAAATTAATTGATTAAGACGATAATAATATAGTCAAATCACTTCTTAATGCATAAATAAAAATTTTATTCTCATGGGAATTATTGAAAAGGAATCACAAGATTGTTACAACTGATCACGAAACAAGCTGGATTAAAAGAAAATAAAAATTGCGTCTACTAGGAGCCTAGGAGATAGCAAATTATGCCCATGACCAAAACGCATGTCACAGAACTAGCTTTGGCTAAAACCAAAGATAAAAAAAACAAATTTCTTTAACAACATTATTCTTCTACTGGCATGGGTTGGTTAATCCTTATTAATTCCCAGTGTGTTCTTCACTGCCTCAGCTGCTCCTTGAGCCATGCTTTTCACTTGCTCCCCAGTCTGAAAAATATAGATCGACCCAAAAACATACAAAAGTTAATTAAACAAATTAAGGAAATGTGATTAAGGGGTCCACATAAAAAAAATTAGCTTGTTTTACTAAATTACAATGATCTGTCTACACATGGACGGAGCTAATTAAGGTTAAGCTGGAGATCAAGCTTACACTCAACTTTTTTTTTTCTTTTTTAGAAATGTATTCGTAAATATATGTTGGTATGATATTTATCGCCCCCAATAAAGTGCAGAAATTTAATCTTATAACCCCTGTTAAATTTTTGTCTTTATTATTAATTAGTCGCCAGTACTAATAAAAATTCCTTGACTTCGTCACAGTGTCTATAGTGATGCAGGTTAATCATTTTGTTTTTCATTAATTTTCTTATCAATTAATCCAATTATATTTCCTTGAAAAAAAAAATAAATTTAAAAGATAGAAGGAAAGATAGATTGCCTGTTGAATAAAGCTGGAAGCTTGCCCGGTGGTTTCAGAAGCAGACTCTTTGGCGGATCCAGTGATACTAGACGCCTTGTCTGTTGCAGTTTGAGACGCATCTGATGCCTTGTTCACAAGCTCATCCTTCTTCACCTATATAATAACAGATGAAAACCAATAAGAAATCACTATATTCATATACATATAAGAACTATATTGAAGCACCTATATATGTTTATACATGATATACATGTATGTCTATATATATATATATATGTACGTATGTATGTATGTATGCATATTTTGCGCGTGTTATTTGGTGTGCACCTGAGCTTGACCCTTCAGTTCGCCTGCCTTGTTTGCGATATCCTCATGTCCTTGGCTTGCCATATTTTTCACTTCTGATTTCCTCTACAAATTGTCAGAAAAGATTACAAACTGATGAAAAGCTATAGCTCGAGCGAGATATATATAGTGGGTAATCTTCATTTGCAGTGTTGATTTCAGCCACATGGTTTCCGCTATGCATGCATTTACTAGAACGTGGCATTTAATGTTAATCCCTTTGATGAACAAAATTTGGGAAGAACTATTCAAAACTGTTTTTATTTTTTCATTGGACTAGGATTAAGAGAACCCGGCGGCTCAGACTCCGGATAATTAAGGGTTCCCCTTGGTCAAATATGAGAATTATTCATGGAACGTGCCCTTTAACACGTACAGGTGTCAGTTTTAGGCTTTTATTAGTAACACTTGTCGGTGCATTTGATGATTTCCTAATCATATACGTCAACGAACTCGTACTCTTCGATAAGGGCAAAATAATGAGAGACGTGAGATTTGGTTGTAACTTGTAATATAAAAATCTTGTAAAAGGATTTCCATCAGAAATAGAGTAATATATATATATATATAAAGATATATATATATATATATATATATATATATATATATATACGCACTGTAAAGGATGCAAACACCTTTCTTCCCAATTAATTCCTGTAACTAAATTTTGTCTCAATCTTCCGTGAATAGAAAAGGTTGAACAATTTATTAACATGTGTTATTTTTTATTTAACACTTAAAATAAAGCGTATGATAAAATGATAATGATTCTAATTTTGTATTGTATTAATTAATCTTATCTAATTACAAATAATATTCTATCATGAGGCATTAATAAGTTTAGTTCCAACAATTATACTCAATAAGGCATTAATAAGTTTAGTTCCAACAATTACACTCAATAATTGTTTATGTGATTGTAACAAATAAATAAAAAAATAATAGTGCTCTAAAAAGGAATCTCTTTATTTACGAACTCAAATCACTTATTTAATTTTTTAATGTCTCAATTAGTATTTAACCAATAACATCATAACACGTTATTTAATATAGACCTAGATATCAAAACTAGAAAAAATTAATCAAATCCTTTCAAAAAAAAAGAAAGAAAGAAAAAGTTAGTTTAAAAAAATTTAAAATTTAAATTTAAAATTCAAATATTATTCTAAATACTGAAATTAAAAATGTGATTTGAATCTCATTGTTTATGAGTGTCTCAAAGCCACTAATTTCGTCTAGTTCAACCTCCACCCTCTCTCAAGTGATAGTGTTGAGGGGTTTTTCACCTCTCCGATCTTGTTTTGTGGGGGTTTTTTTTTTTTGGTAATTTGTTGTGGGGATTTATTTATTCTTATTTATTTATTTTGTATCAGCGTTATGGGGGAACGTTATGTGTGTTGGTTGCACGCTGTAATTACTGTGGCTGATATGCTTCCTGTGTGGACACACGGATTATTTGCACGACACCACGTGGCGGTATCACATAGGCTGAGTCATTAGTCTATCCTCCGGAACCGAATGGAGCTACCGGCCATCTTCACCAGGGAAAGGCACGTACCACACACGTGTCGTACAGGAGGGGGGAACGTTATGTGTGTTGGTTGCACGCTGTAATTACTGTGGCTGATATGCTTCCTGTGTGGACACACGGATTATTTGCACGACACCACGTGGCGGTATCACATAGGCTGAGTCATTAGTCTATCCTCCGGAACCGAATGGAGCTACCGGCCATCTTCACCAGGGAAAGGCACGTACCACACACGTGTCGTACAGGAGGACACGTGTCGTTTTCCATCTTCACATGCAAATACAATAAAATGGTAATAAGCACCCAAACTTGGAATCACCGCACTGCTACAGAAAACAGTAAAACATCAGTTTTCAAGTACTTTTATAAGTTATAAGTTCTCACTCATCACATTTCTAGACAGAGAAGAAAAGCAAAAATGGCATCCCATGATCAGAGTTACAAAGCTGGTGAAGCCAAGGGCCAAGCTGAGGTCAGTATTGTAATATAACAACTCTTTTGGTATATTTTAGTAATATAATAAAATTACAGTAATTATTATAATGATTTTCACTTTTTATACTATAAAATTGTACCCTATAAAATTGTACCCTAAGAGAATCTCCAAGGCAACATATTACGCTATAATTAATGTCTAACATTTGAGTGAAAAACACTTTAATATATTATTTATCGTGTTAATTTTTTTTTTAAGTTTCGTGTTAAATTTTTTATGTTATATTTTGTAATAAATTTTCATTACTTATAACATATAAAAAATTTAACATTTAATTCCTATTTTTTGGAAATAAAATAAAATATTTACTTTTTTATGTAATTATTTTAACTTTTACATTTTTTAATTATTTTAAAAATAAAAATTTATTTTACAACTTGAAATTTAATAATTACGAGAAATTAAATTTAATATTCATTAGAACAAAATAAAAAATATCATATTATATTTTTTTATATTAAATATACAATCGACAATTAACATTTATATTAGAAATAATCTAACTATATTAATAGTTTCTATTCAATTTTGTTAGTATTTCAACATTACAATTAAGAATTTTTTCTTTTTTTTTTTCTTCCAAAGGAGAAGAGCAACCAAATGATGGGCTCAATGGGGGAGAAGGCCCGTGTGGTGAAGGACAAGACAGAGGATACCGCCCGTGCAGCGAAGGATAAGACCTCGGAGACGTCCCAAGCGGCGAAGGACAAGAGCTACGAGACTGCCCAGGCGACCAAGGAGAAAACCAAGAGCGGGGCCCAAGCAGCGAGGGAGAAGACTTCGGAGGCGGCCGATAAGACCGGGGAAAAGGCCCATGAGGGGAAGGAGAAGACCAGTGGGATTATTCAGCAGACAGGGGAGCAAGTAAAGCATATGGCCCAAAGAACTGCTGATGCTGTGAAAAGCACGTTTGGAATGGCCCAAAACAGCGAGGAAGGGGATGATGACACTCCCACTGCTTACAAGACCAGGGACTAAAGTTGGAGTTTGAACCCTAAGTTTGGTCGTTTGTTGTTGTTGTTGTTCATGTTTTTAAAATTTGTGTGTCTTCTTTGTCGTTAGTTGTTTCTTTTGTTGGTGACAAAAAATGTTGTGTATTTCTTTATTATGGCTATGGAATAGTACTTAAACTGCATTGAAATGTGAGACAAAATTTGGCTATTGTCCCTTTGTTTGCCTTTTATGCATAAGAGATGATTCAGAAATTTGAGTCGTATTGTGGTGGCAAATTCGTACAATACTTGATCTAAATAGCTTTTGGTTAATCCTGTATGTAGTACGCAAGCCTCAATGCACCAAAAGAAGAGTTGGAAAGATTTCTAGCAGGAAAGTTGGAATTTGAATTTTTCGAAAAAAAAAAATAGTAATATATATTTTCTATAAACTAAGTCCCTTAAAGCAGGCACCTCTTCGTTAATCTTTTATTTTCCTTTTCTACCCCTTTGTTTTCTTTTTTTTTTTTTACTCACTTGTCATCACAGCTAATATGAAACTTGATTCTCAAGTTAAAAAGAAGAGGAAAAAAAAAACAAGTGTAATGGGTTTCTAAAGCTCTCTTAATTACTTTTTACTTTCTTATTTTATTTTACTTTTTACTTTTTACATTTCATTATTGGTGTAAGGCCGTAGTATTTTAATATTTGCTTTATTAAGCATAAAAATTTATGTGAATATACTGTCCATGCATTACGTTAACACGCAACAAGTTACATGTAAAAGCTGCTTCAAAGTCAATATGATTTTTAATTTAAATAAAGAGGAAGATAAATAAATTTAAGTATTGTCTCCACTCCGGTCCTGGAGCGTTAATAGGTTTTTGGTAAGGAGGGAATTAGGATTTTATTTCTGAGGCACTGACAAGAATTTTAGTTTTTTTTTTTCTTATAGTTATTAACAATTTTCTTTAAGAAATAAATTATAAATATACAAATTAAAACTAATCTCTAAAATTAAGAAGTAAAATTCACACATAATTAATTAAGACAAACTTATTCAGTTAAAATAGTATCAATTCAAAATCAAACAAAGTTTTTTTATAAAAGCGTGGAAAAAAAAAGTGAATAATAAAAAAGAGAGTGGCTATCTAAGAGATTAAATAAGAAAATTAATTAAATAACTTAAAATAATGGGATAGGTTCAAGAAAAAAAAACATGGTCACCTTTTATAGAAAATATATTTTGATGGGGATACATTTGTAAAATTATATAAAATTATAAGTGAAAATTAAATAGATAAAAAAGTGAGTGGGGCACGGGCCCTTATAGACCCCAATGTAGCTCTATCCCTATTGACCATGTGAAAAGGAGGAATTATTCAATACACCTAGTATAACACATCATCTTACTTATGTGGTACACTCATCTAATAAAAATTTAACACCTAACAACTACAGTCACGCCCCGGGGCAGGGGTCGGTGATGTGGAGGCTCGATTAGGGGTTAAACGTAATTAAGAATAAAATATTAAAGAAATTCTCAAACGAGCCCCACTATTTAGCGGAAATTAAATTATACATTCTAAATGAGAGACTAAAACTCAAGCCTCTAACACTGTTCAGGGCTACACCCACAGGATCTTCAGTATCGTACATACATGAACGTGTAATTTTAATATTATAGACATCAACTACAGTCTAGATATCCAAATATCAGAGTTTACAGAATTTATAATTCTTACATTCGTACACAGGGAGGATGAACACAATCCTCACCAACTCCGGTGGTAGCAACTCAGCTACTCCGCACTGCTTCTAGAATCGCCTGGGAGGGGTTAACATGTATAAAACAATAAAACGTGAGCGAAAGACCCATCAAGATATATTTTGAAATAACTTTATAAATAAGTAAATAAATGAGTAAGCAAGTAAATAAATAAATAAGACATTCAGTTCCAACACAACAGTCAGAACCTCACATCCTTTTTCTCAAAGGAAATATACTGAAAATCTCCGTATTACAGGCATCAGCAAGTAATTTATACTATGATAAATTACTTACACAACCAAATGCACAAGCCATATCACCCCGGACCGGGTTTTGGGTCCTGCCCCCAAGGATGCACTCTCCACATCTTATCTAGGCTATCAGCCAGTTTACCGATTCACAAGATCTCTTGTCTTAAGAAATCATTCATTAAACTTTATGAAACAGTTCATTATACTCCCCAGAATCTACACAAGCCATGGGGGTTAAAATATTTTTCTTTCGCAAACATGTCCTTTCTTTAAAACATTTGCAAGGCCAAAATCTTTTTGAAAACAGGCTCACAAAGAAAAGGGGTAAGAAATCCTACCTCGTAAACCTGGCTAGCGTTACTTTACTCCGGCTTTCGCTTCCTCAAGCCCCTCAATCCGAGTCCTCAGCTAGCACTGATACAAAACAACACTTTAGGATCCAATTCTCATTCCTAAAGCAATTCAGTCTCAACTATATCCTTTGATTTCCTATTAGTGTGCCATAATTCAATTACTGATTTCACAAACCATTTCATGTTTCAAATCATCATTCCAAGAGTTTTTAATTCCAAAACATGGATTAAAGGTGCTAATCCATTCATCCTAGGTCCCCAAATGAAGTTAATTTGGGTTATCCTCAAAATCAGGGTCAAAATAGGGGTTTTCAGGCAAAACAGGGACAAACCCAGTGTACACCGGTCGACCGGTGACAGCGCAATGCAACACCACTGGTCGACCGGTGGTGTGCACTTCGGTCGACCGCACAGGTCGACCTGATGTAGTGCAGACCGGTCGACCGGTGGAATTAGGGCAGGATGCCCAGAAGGGCCGATCTGAAGAAAAATAAATGGAAAACTTGCAAATCCAAGTCCCAAATCGAAATATCTTAAAGGAAAACCACTAGATCCGGGTTCTAAGTACTAAATCAAGTCAAAGAACCCAAGATCTCCAATTTCTACCATAGTTTTACTTAAAATCCATCAAAATCCATTTCGAACCAAAAATAAGTTTTTAAATCCGAAAATCTGAGTTTCCAAAGAAGTTTTTTTAGAAATCTTACCCCGAATCATTCTCTTAGCATTGAAAACTTCTTGAAATTCCTCTTTGGTTCGAGATTTGGTTGTTTGAATCAAAATGGGAGAGAGAGAGAGAGTGAGTGAAGAGAGAGAGAGAGAGAGAGTGTGAATGCACAGGCAGGAAAAGGAAATGGAAGAAAAGAAAAGAAAAGAAAAAAAAGAAAGGACAGGTGTCACAAACTCAAAAAAGCAGTCCAGAAATGTGCCCATACACACTTCTGGTAAAAATGTAAATGCTGAGAATATTTAAATACCTTGAAATTATTTAAATTTACACGTCAGAAACATTTATTAATCAATAATCAATTAATTAAATCATATTAGACACACTAATAAATCTTAATTACATTAATTAATCTTATTTAATTCTTCGGGGCGTTACAACTACTAAGACATAAATTGGTAATTATGCTAATAAACTTTCCCACGTCACAAATTTCACCCGCTCCACAGCTTAGTTCGGGCGCTTGGCACGCCTTGCATATGTAAAACGTATTCAAGGCTTATTTGAATCACAAGTAGAGCTAAGAAAATGAGATATAAATTGCGGTCCCGTTCATTTCGCCGATTCGAGTTTAGAATTTGAATTTTACTACAGTAAAAAGCTCTTAGAAACAGTCACATCTAATTTTTTTGCTACAGTAAAAAGCTCTCACAAAACGTCACATCTTAACTCGAATTAAAAACTCGAATCAGCGAACTAAACGGGCACGTAACATATGTTATAAATCATACTAAAAGAAGATTTATTATATGGAGGTGATAAGTCTAAAAAAATCATGCATGCAGGTTAATAGGTAATAGGATACTGTTTATTTTTCAATGTTAATTTTGCCCATTCATTTCTCTCTCTTAATGTACTCTACTTTAATTGCTTAGTCATAATTACTAAAATACTACACCAAAATATACTATATTAATTAATTGCAATTAATATCATTTTTGACACTTAAAAATGTTATTCTCTACGCTTTAAAAGACTAACCTATTTTGTTTGAAATATATTAACAAAAATTTAAAAGATACTAGTTAGCATGTTAATAAACGTTTTCTTTTAGAAAACGTATCATATTACCTATATATATATATATATTCTATATCGTAAAAGAAGCGTTTCTATTAAATGTGTTTTTTTTTTCTTTTTTTGCTGAAGAATGTGTCCATTAAAATAAAATAAATAAATACGCACATATTATATACTTGCCCTAGTGCTACTCCCGGACTTCCTTCCTCCACAGAAGACTCGATAGAATAACTTGTACCTAATATCAACTGCTTTATTTATTTATAATATCCTACATTTGAAAATAGATATTATGATCACAAAATATCTTATTTTCTTTCTTATATATACATATGTTGGAATACTAAGTATTAGATGTGACAATTCGTGTTACGTATCGTGTTTTAATTATTATTTTTTTTAAATTTACAGTCAACCCGAACACGACATGTGACACGAAATTGTTTAAAAACCGCAACACGAACACGACACGACCACTTTATGGGTTGACACGACATGACACGATACGAAAATGGCACGTGACATGAAATTGACCCATGAACTCGAAATTAACACGAAAATTGTATACTTTTATTTAGTTTTTTACATATTAGAAATAACTTAAAATTCATAACACACAAATTACAATAACATCCATTGAAATTAAGCAAATAATAGTATAAGATTTTGAGTATAACTATCATGATATCACAAGTTCATAATAAAATAAAAAATATGTAATGAAAAATATATGTATTTTTTAGTTTTTTATGCGTTTCGTGTCGTGTTCGGGTTAGGAGGGTCGAACTCGAAATTGACCCGTGTTTTTTGTGTTAATTTCAAGTCGACCCGATTCTGACCCGAACTTTTTTTTTTTCTCAACCTTAACCCGTAAAATTCGCGTCATTTTCGAATCGTATTGTTGTATCGTGACCCATATTACCGGCCTTACTAAGTATAAAACTTTATGCGCATTTTTTCTCTTCGATTTATCGTCTTGCTCAACGTATCAGTATGTACGTCACACGAAAAACTTTTTTTTTAATTGCTTTCATATATAAAAGTTGTCACATTTGTTCTTCTTTCACCAGTTTCCTAAATGGATTTAAACGTAGAAAATTATATTTTTAAAACGTTAAAAAATATGTTTAACATGGATTAATATAGGAGATTTAACTTTAGCATTTATGATAATTTAAGG